AAGGTCTGTGCAGTGCATAAAATAAGCAGCTCAGGCTAAAGAAGAAGAGAAATGTGACATGAGATTATGCAATATATATACACACATACTTAAGGGTAAAAAATAAGAGATGCACAAATGTTTTCCATGAGCTAATGGAAGAAACAATAGCAGGCAAACACTATTATGTGCTCCATGTACCATCACACACAAAGGGAAATGAAAAAACTGACAGTAATTTTCACCAACATTTTGTTACTGTTTTGGGGTGTTATTTCAGGTCTTTTAAAATTAGCATACTCTATTAGGTATAAATACATCAACCTGTTTCCCATTTACAACCTCTTCACCCTCTTCAGTCAGTCATTGCTTCTCATCTCAGGTCTGCTACTTTTCTTCATCCTCAAGCACTTTCCTCCCTTAGCAAATTCCAAATTCGTATTTGCATGTCGGTCCCCATCTGGGTCCAGCCTCTCCTCCCTCTCCACAGGTTGCTATGGACACCAGAAACCTGGCTTTGAAACACATTTGCCAAAGGCAACCCAGCTCTGAAATACAGCATCCCTTTCATTTTGAAGTCACACACTAGATGATTTTCAAAGCTAAGAACTGAAACATAAGTTTGGCATGAGCTTAGGGTAGAGAGGATCTTGAGATTAACTGCAAAATCAGAGTAAATTGTGCAGTAAAAAGCCACTTTTCATGTCTGCTCAGAACACCCACATGGGAAGCTACCGCCAATGACAAATGCACATTACATTTCTCAAGGGAGCAATGACTTCTCCTTTTTCAATCCCTGACCACATCAGAGTTGCAGTTTTATTTTCCTTCCTATCTAGCAACAAAACTATATTAACTGTAAGACCATGTCCACTGTATGGATACATCAAAAATGTAATTAGCATGGTTTTAATTCTGCTATATCATAGTTGCATTGCAAACCTACTTGGGTAAAAATCTTAAGTCATAAAGCCATTTTGTCTAGATCATCAACAAACTTTTGCCCAAACAAAGGAAAATTAGCAGACATATATGAAGATCAGTGCACATTCATTTCTGAAAATAAACATGAAACTTATGTTAAGTAACGTGTCAAAGGTAAAGTTCTACTTCCTTAAGTGACAGAATCAAAATACAGCCACTAAAACTGCTTCCCATTTCTATAATGGACAGACAGAAGCAAAAAAAAGTTTTTTTTTT